TAAACGTGCTTTTTGTTTGCCAGATAACCCAACACCCAGTTGTGTGAAGTCAGCAAGAACATCCTTACCACAAGCTCTAACTTCCTGCTGGTGCTCTGCAATCTTATCTTTGCCACCATGCACATGTATTGCATTTTAATTTACAATTAAATAAAATAAAATAAATAAATAAATAAATAAACTAATACACCTTACATTTTGTTGAACAAGCTTTATTTAAAAAGTTAATTAAATTGATCTAATGTAGAAAAAAACAATAGCCAAGTTTAGACAATTTAGTATTTATAAGCAACATGACATTTTTGACAATTGACAGGCTGTTGAGCTTGCTAGTTTGATCACTAAAGTGCAAGCCTGAGAAAGTTATTAGTGTCAGAAAAATGCTTATCATTGCCACTAGTGGCGCTAACACAGCACAACAACACGGTGTGTTATTTTAATGATTTAATATTTTTGCATTAAATATGGAATGTATTTACAGTGTATGAATAAAATTTACATTTACATTTAATCATTTAGCAGACGTTTTTATCCAAAGCGACTTACAAAATAATAAAAATGAAAAGCATTATTAGCTCTAAGATGTTTTATTTGTTATTTTCTTATTGTACCTATTTACAATTTCCATACAATTTTCTATGGAAGCCTTGTTAACATTTATAAAATGGTCATTTCAAAAGTAGGTTTTGTGCTCAAGGGTTTACCCAAAATTTACTTATTCAAATATTTTCATCCAGAATAGTTTATAGTGTATATATGTGAAAAATGTTTTCATATTAGTTGTGTTATCTATATATGTTATCTATAGACTTTTTTATCTATAGCATTCAATATTGAATTTTCATTCTATCCCTTTAAGTGCTCTCAAATCACATCGGTCAAAGCAAAATGGCGATGTACTTTTTCTTTTTCTTTTTTTTTTCTTTTTACAGTTTTAATGTTTTTAAATATATGAAGATGATGTAAACTGAATTGTACATTCTAATATTAAAATACTATTGTGTTTTGTGCTTGCAACTTTGTGCTATTGCACATCTTAAGTTGAAAAAAAAAGTAGTTCAAGTTCATGTGCGTTCAATTAAATGATCTTTACAAATGATTTTATTAGTTTTTAGTGATAAATTATTATGATTTAGGGAAGTTTTTCCCCTAATAAGAAGTAGTAGCTAATAAAAATATTGTGAAACTACTAAAACATGTTGAGTTGTCATCTGTTTACAGTAAAAAAAAAATAAAAATAAAAACATGGGGGAAAAAGTGTGAAAACAACCCACAAACTCACATTAGCAGAAGGCATCAGTCTAAAGAACCTCAACATTTATACACCATTTTGTCTCTAGAACCATGGTTATGAATCAAGAATTTCAATTTCAAAACATGTACTGCACTACACAAAAAGATAAATACTGTTTTTCAACATCATCTACACTCACTGGTTACTTAATTGGGTATACCTGTTCAACTGCCTGTCAATGCAAATATCTATTCAGTCAATCACATGGCAGCAACTCAATGTATTTAGGCATGTAGACATGGTTAAGAAAATCTGCTCAAGTTCAAACCAAGCATCAGAATGTGGAACATCCAACAAAGCTGATTTAAGTGACTTTGAAGGTAGCATGGTTGTTGGTGCCAGATGGGCTGGTCTGAGTATTTCAGAAACTGCCGATCTACTGGAAGTTTGACAATAAACCATCTGTAGGGTTTACAGAGAATGAGAAAATATGTGTGAGCTGCAGTTCTGTGAACAAAAATGATTTGCTGATCCCAGAATCAGAGGAGAATGGTGAGACTGTTCGAGCTGATAGAAAAGCAACAGTAACTCAAATGATCACTTATTACAACTGAGGTATGCAGAAAAGCACATGTTCACCAAAACTGGATGATAGAAAATTTGAAAATGGTTACCTGGTCTAACGAGTCTCGGTTTCTCCTGCAACATTCAGGGGTCGGAATTTGGCATAAACAACATGAAAGCATGGATCCATCCTGCCTTATATCAGTTCAGGCTGCTGGTGGTGGTGTCGGAGATATTTTCTTGGCACACTTTGGATCCCTTAGTACCAACTGAGCATAGTTGAAACACCTTAGCCTACCTGAGTTTTGTTGCTGGCCATGTCCACCCTCTTATGCTCTTATGACCATGGTGTACCCATCTTGTGATTGCTATTTCCAGCAGGATAACCTACCATGTCACAAAGCTCAAGTCATCTCAAACTGCTTTTTTTGAACATGACATTGAGTTTACTATACTCAAATGGCCTCCAGAGTCACCACATCTCAATCCAATAGAGCTCTTTTGGGATGTGGTGGAATGGGAGAGTGGCATCATAGATGTATAGCCGATAAATCTGCAGCAAATGTGTGATGCTATCATGTTAATATGGACCAAAATCTCAGAGGAATGTTTCCAGCACTTCGTTGAATCTGTGCCACAAAGAATTAAGGCAGTTCTGAAGTTCAACCCAGTACTAGCAAGATGTACCTAATAACGTTTCTGGTGAGTGTATTTCATGTGGGCTGTTGTTCAGCTGGGCTGTTCACACTACTACTGTCTGCTTCACGCTTTTACTTACCAACAAGAAAAAAGTCAGACTCAGCCGCCAATTGTTGAAAGATTTCAGTATGATGTGATGGTGTTTTCAAATGAAAGATTCTGTGATGGGAAGTCTGGTTAAAACTTTCAAGTGTATTGCTGACACTCAAAACAACTGAGCTCTCTTTTGTTATGAGTCAAAACTAAAACTTCTGTCTAGTATGCTTAAGAAATGAAACAAATTCAGCTAGCATTCAGCCAGTCTCTGTGGGGTTTGTGGCCCAAATGATACTGGTATGTCAAAATTGCAGCGAGGGATTGATTATAAATATTTGTATTGGCATTTTGTTTTACATATGACTCTAATAGGAACAAATCCCTGTCTGCGTGATTTTAAAAGCACCAGCTCTCAGTTTAGAAGCTAAGCAGACACATTCAGTCTGTTTTTTTATATGTTTTTGACTCTTTTGACTGATTAAGTCATCCATTTTCTCCATTCAGACACGGACAGATTCACGAAACACTACATGATGTAGGTGGATTGCTATATCCAAAGTGAATTTACAGCATATTTTTGATATATGCAATCTTCCAGAAGTAATGTGCGGTAAAGATTAACACTCAAGTGGCTCATGGATCAACCCTTGATGGGTTTAAACCTAAGTAAATGTCAGTTTAAGTTCTGGAGGCCACAGAGGGTGTGAAAACCACCCTTAGCTGTGTGAAAAGCACCACCGGGAAATAGTTAACAGCTATATATGCTATGCACTCAATGTGAGATGTTATTGCTTACACATTTGAAAAATGTGTTTTTCTTGCATGTGCAGAAGCAGCAGGTGTGTATGCCACAGTGCTATTGGAACAGAGGTCAATCTGTAGACAGCAGAAACTGAAGCTATTACTTAATTTCAGGCTTCCTGTTTATCACACTCATTTGCACAGAAAACAGGGGTAACTAGTGAAACGAACATCTCAACTTTACAATGCTTTTAGAATGTTTTGTTTAAATTTAGAGTAAAAAAACAGAAGAGCAGGAGAGGGTGTGGTGTGAGAACATTCAACATATGCTAAAGAACAACCTGACAACCGTATGACAAAGCCAAAATGACTTGGGTGATTTTTAATTGGATTTTAAATAAATCACCAGTGATTTTGTACAGAGCACATATATTTCAGACACTTTCATTCTCTTATACCTAAATATACACGCCTACACACAAACACAAAAAAATGGGACTCATCGTATTGGGGATCTCAGATATTTTGGAAAAGTTCTGAACATTGTCTCACCACATGGAGAGGGAAAAAAAAGGTTAATGTTTTAGATTCAGGTAACAGGCGACATCACAAGAATAAATTTGCCATTGCTTTTAATGCTATACAGTGATTGCATATATGGAATGAAGGTTACAAATTTTAATTGCACACATTTAAAGGGTGTTTAGCAGAAGATGGAAAGATTTCTCAAAAGCCACATCCTCTCAAAAGTTAATAGAACTGTTGCTTTGGAGACAGTAGCCGGAAATAACCTTTTGCATTTCTGTTTAGTGAAAGGAGAAAGGTTCTGAAAGTATTTCAAAAACCACAAATTCAAAAGAAATACATTTTTGTGGATGTCTCTGTGTGTTGTCATCAACGTCATAAGTACTAATAGGAATACACAATCTCAACACTAAGGACTCTACAGGACATAAAAAAAATAATTAAAAAAAACACCCGCCAGAAACTGTTTCATTAGATAACAGACTTTGTGAAGAACAAAATTGTGTATTCTGGAAAATGGTATTCTCAAAATTTATGACAAATCAGCTGGCTACTTATCATAGTTAGCTGCTGTAGTTACGTACATCTATAAAGCAGGCATTTGTGTTCTTTAATTCATCAAAACTTTGTTTTAAGTGGTTGTAACGTAAGCCTACAGGTGCCAATAGGATGTTTCAAACTAAACAGGGAAGTCTTTCTAAAGCTTTCAGATGTAATTTTCAACTTCTAACAATAGAACGAAGAACTGCGCACTTTCACAACTACTGTCACACCCAATAATGCTGTAAACCACACGATAAAGAATCAAAATAACACATTTTATTGAAACTGAAGAAAAATCAAGTGCAGTTGTCCTTTAAAAAACCACTTAAATTCTACCCTACTAATTCACAAATAAAACTATATAATAAATGAAGCTGGACTATTTTCCCCTCATCATGAACATAAATATATGTAAAATAAATCTCCTTTTTCTCTACTTATGTTATTGCCAGTTGTGTCACAAATTTGACAAATTCAGTAACCAAATAAAAATGTCAAAGTAAAGGGTTATAAAGTCATGATGTGTTTCATCCTTTCATCCACAGTTGAACGCAAACACGTGTAGGATGGCAATTAACATGTGACAGCAAGAGGTCCTCACTCAAGATAGAACTACTTAGAAAAAAGAAAAAGAAAAAAAAAACTGGGCAGATCTCGATGAGAAATACAGGAAATTATGTCGTCGTCATGGTTACAAAAGCAAAGTGGAAACAGTATTTCATCGCTTAGTCTGGGTGTGTTAGAAAACGTGGTTAATGCTGGACCAGGAGGTGTCGGCAATGATCAGACCACTTGACACAAAAAAGGCACAAAAACTGCGGCACAAGAAAGTGTTGGTAAGTACATATGTTTTTGTAATAATATTTGTGAAGGACTAATTTAAACTTTTTTTTGGATCTCACAAATAGTACTTTAGACAAGAATCAAATACTCTAGGAAACAGCTCAGCAGAAATTTGCACACTTTGTTTGAATATTTTGATGCTGTTTTAACCAGTTCTTGCTTCAGATAGTATATGTGAAATGATGTTCAAGCTGAATTGTTCTATTAATAATAACACATTTATTCATTTTTTTATAATAATAATAAAAAAATGTAAATTATATATATATTTTTTTAGTACTTTAGACAAGAATCATAAATACTCTAGGAAACAGCTCAGCAGAAATTTGCACACTTTGTTTGAATATTTTGAAGCTGTTTTGACCAGTTCTTGCTTCAAATATTATGTGTGATGTACATATGTTCAAGCTGAATTTTTATATATATTATATAAATTATTATATATATTATTATTATATTATATATATATTCTGTGAATTCAAATTCAAATAAACTGAAATATCCATTCAAGTTTGTTGTATTGCTTCAGAGCATGTGAGTACTGTGTGTACTGGCACATGGATGACTCATTATCATACTACAAATCTATGTATAGCATGGTTTCTACAATACAGTGAAACAATTAGGAATGATTGCAATATGCTAAAGCAGCATATAAAAAAAATAACTGCTTTGTTTTTCCTCTCGATCTCTTTCGAATCAGAATAGTCTAGTCCCTGGAAAGGAAAAATGGATATAAGCTTTGCAGAAGTATACTAACCGCTACACAGTCATTGTTACGCCATCACAGAGAATTGTATCCTACTCTATTGTATTCTAGACATGTTTTTCTAGTAGTCAAGGTCTTTGTGAGGGTGCAGAATTCGGGCAGTTGTAGGACTGACAGGAAACACCTTTTGCTGCTCCAGTGGAGCGCGGTACTCGTCTGGACCTCCTGTCTTTGCATTTGCACTGATGATTGACATAAAACTTCCTTGCCATTCACAGTGGTATCACAAACTTCCGTACACACATGAAAAAATTATTTGACATGTTCATAAAAACATTGCTGTAGTAAGTTGGGGGGGCGAGCGGGTGCTTTGAAACCACAGGTGGCTTATGCCATTTCCTTTGCCTGATATGTATGCCCGTTACAAAAAAGGACGCAAGCTTGTTGCACTTCCTTAGTGAAACAACACTGTGTAACCTGATACAAGCATGGGTTGATTTTCTTAGTTCTGTAGTAATGTATCTGTTTTACTTTTTCCAGATTTCATAACTGACCCCATGGAGATGGTAGTAGCTACAAATGCCACCCAAAATGACTCCGACACCTGTACCAACCTCTATGACCATCGTGGCTGGGCACAGTATTTTTTGCCTGCAATATATTCTCTGATTTGCATTGTGGGACTGTTGGGCAATGTGCTGGCTTTGCATGTCATTTGGCCTAATTTAAAAAAAATCAACTCCACAACTCTGTATTCAGCCAACCTGGTGGTGTCGGACATCTTATTTACGCTTGCTCTGCCCTTGCGTGCAGTTTACTATGGCAAGGGGTTCCACTGGCCAATGGGGGAGGGTTTGTGTAAGGCCGTGGCGCTGCTGTTCTACATCAACATGTATGCCAGCGTCAACTTCATGACTTGTTTGAGCGTGGACCGTTTCATTGCAGTGGTGCTGCCGCTGCGCTTTTCCCGATTCCGAAAGGTTCAGAAGGTGCGGTACATCTGTGCTGCCGTATGGGTCGTTGTGTTGATGCAGACCCTGCCTTTGCTGTCAATGCCCATGACGAACGTGGAGCAAAGTGGTCATATAACATGTATGGAGTATCCCAACTTCGAGAAGACTGACAATCTGCCTGTCATTCTCATCGGAGCCGTGTTGATTGGCTTCGGCATCCCTGTGATCACCATCCTGGTGTGTTATTCGGCACTGTGCTCCAAACTCCGCCTCCTGGCCAAGTCTAATAAACTGACAGAGAAGCTGGGTCGTAGTCGTAAAGCCATCGGCGTGATTTGTGCTGTCATTCTCGTATTCATGGTGTGCTACACCCCATATCACGTCGACCTCCTGCAGTACATGATCAGAAAGCTGCGGTACAAGCCGGACTGTTCAGAACTGCACGACTTTCAGATCTCCCTTCACATCACCGTCTGCCTGATGAACCTCAACTCATGCCTGGATCCCTTTATCTACTTCTTTGCTTGCAAGGGATACAAGAAAAAGGTACTCAAACTGCTCAGGAAGCAAGTCAGCATGTCCTTCTCAAGTGTGGTCAGGACCTCCCGTGAAGGCTCCTCCAAAGACGTGTTTGGGAACGACAAAATCCAAATGAGCTCTAGAAGCAATCAGAAAGAGAGGAGCAGTGTGCTGTTGAGCAACATCAATGGTTTTGAACTATAAACAACAACAAGAAACACAGTTCACTGACTATACGAGACTTACAATACAACAGCAAATTTATCACCTCTGGATTATTTTACAGTGTTTCAAGCTATTGGTTGGTGGTTAATATTTTGTTATGCTGTTCAAAGATTATTGCACATTTGTCTTACATACAAATATACACACATATATTTGAGTGCTAGAATTTGTTCTTCCCTTTTTTAATTGATCTTTTGAATAATAATAATAATAATAAATAGCTCAAATGACAAATATTTATATGCAGTGACATGATGAGCTACAGCAGTCTAGTGCCAAGAAACAATGCTTGTGGTGATTTCAATGTAGCCTAATGCCTCAAATCTTCTGATTCCATTCACAAGAAAAGATTCAATCACTGATTCTTCAGTGACCCTTTTGATCCTTAATCATTACAACACTGGAATGTGACCAGTGAGTCACTGAATGACTCTTTTTGTTTTGACTGAATCTCTCCCTTTATAGGTATGTTAAGGGTTTGCTGTTTTAACCTGCCCTCTATAGCACAAGCAAGTGGAATTATAATGTGTGTTAAGACAGTGCAAAGAAGTGAGCAAGATCATGCCCAAAACCCCCTTAAGAAACTGTAGCGAGCTGTCTTACTGGAAGGAGTCACTCTTTTATCTCAATGGCTCCTTATGCATCATAGTAGTGTCTCAGGATGATAAACTTGACAATCACACTGAAAATCAACTGTGTCATCATCCATTTAAATCGTCTAGATGAGCTTCCACAGCACACAAAAAGACTTAAATTGATTATTTCTAATTTGGAGCTATTTTACAGCAACATAGTTATCAAGATGGACAAATTAGTATTTAAATGATGTTATTTAATTTTGACCAACAACTAGCTATGTTTACATGACACCTTTTGTTTCAGTTGGAAAGAATAAAATAAAGTAAAAAAACTAAATAAAGTAATAAGGTTAATGTGTTATCCATTTTAACTCAAACATTCAGTTTAAGAGGCTATTACCAAAGGATAACCTTTTTGCAACAATCAAGTTGAGAACATATACTGGATAATGGAGGAGTTACAAAATGTACCTTGAATGAAACGAAATGTTACATTTTGTTTGGGTGTGTGTGTGTAGTTTTTTGGCTAGTTTACCTTTTTTAAATGGAAAAACACATTCTACCCTTCCAAAAACAGCATAAGTTAGTTTGTGGGTCCTAGATACTCAACCTGGGGCCAGTTGCATAAGCCTGTGTCTTAAGAACTAATCTGACCAACTAGTAGTTAGCCAAGTGGTAATCAGTCTTATTTTTTGTATTCAACGTAGACTAATCTACATTTTTATGTAACCAACTTTAAAAGGTTATGACCAGTTTAAAAAAATAGATAGCTTTTTCAGCAGAGTAGAATTTAAAAAAAAATTGTCCCATCATATGCTGTAGAGCAGATATACAATCCTGGAGGCAAAGAGTTTATAAAATTCACATTGACTGGTCCCAAATTTTATTTTAGTCTTGACCAAGACCATAAAGGCAGGCACATTTTGAATTCAGTGCAATTACAACAAATAGCCAGAAGAGAGAGCCACAAAGCCAAAAGTGAAGATTAGGAACAGTACAACAGATGTCACTTCCCCTTTACACAGGAAACATTGTGCATGCTTATATTGACATTTTAGTGTTCCATCAGTTCATGATGAAAAACAGGAGTGCTAATTTGGCTTAGAGAGGCTGGGAATTTGGGAACTGAATTAAAATTCTAATTAAAACTTAAATGTATGTAAAAGGTTTACTGACAACTCATTGTGTTCGCTGACTTAAAATACATAGTTTCTGAATTGCATCAAAATAATTACTATGAAAACTGTCCAAATAGTTCATCTTCTGAAGAGAAGTGAAATAATGTATCAGTGACACTACAGACAAAAACAGGAAAAAGGTCAAAACCAATACCCCAGAACAGAAGATGCATGGGGAGTTGTGGTTTGGAAAAATGGAAGGAAGTTGCTGTGTTGCTTCAAACCTCCTTGAACTGTTCCTTTTTAGGAGAAAAGGGACACAGTCTGTAACCTTTTACACTGTAGACCTAGAGATTTACTGTCTGGAACAGTAAAAAAGTCTGACAAAAACTAACTCTTTACTGCAAGCACCGCCTGACAAACAAACAACAGTAGCATTTACATCAGCTTTGGTGACTGATTAAAAAAAAATCCTACAATAACTGCTTGTTGATGTATGTGAACTTTTAGATTATATAGTACCTTTCACATTATATAGCCAATAACCATTTCTCTTTTTTTTGTTTGGTTTTGTTTTGTTTCAGCTGTGGTTAGGATAATAAGGTAATAAGCCACTCAAGATAATACACATACAATCTTCAATGTCATGGTAATACCATATTTCCATTTGAACCCTATTATTATTTTCATTTTAGGAAGTTATATTCAATAAAGTATCCAGACAAATATTATTTTATTTTATGTCATCTACACTGAGGCAGTGTTTAATAATGACTATATTTATATGACCTGTTTACCCATCTTAATCTCCTAATATTACATCAACGTACAAACCCATGAAAATAATAACTTCATATGCATGACAACTCAGATCACAGTGTCTCAGTTTAGGACTCAGTCTCAAGTCTGTCTCTATCGCCTCTATCTCATATTTCCATATAAGTCTACAAAAACAATGAGATTAAGTCATTATTCTGGTGTCCCTTCTCTAGAACTATAATATTCACTTCTCGTAGAATCTATAATACTATGTATGGCATTGGTAATGAAATCATATATATATATATATAAAAACACTGACTCATTCATTAATGATTTGGAGGAAAAGTGACCGGCTTATAAGGCATGCTGGGAGTCTAATTTGCCTTGCCAAGACTGTATAGATTCATTTGTATTGCCCAAGCTCTAAGTGATACAAGTATACTTATAATGGAAAGAGTGCTTCATAACTTAATATAAAATATTAAAATATTTGCAATATAAAATATTTGTATATTATTTACATAATGGTTGTTTATAGGACTTTCTTTCCTTCCCCTTTTTCTAATATGGAGGAACCGAAAAAAAAGAAGACTACATTCACTCAGAGACCAAGCAGATGTTCCTCATTTTACAGTTCGTTTCTCAATACTTTTACAAGAATCTCCACCAAAAACAAAAATCCCCAGGTTTCTACAACAGATCTGTTAAGAGAATGATATTTGTGTGTCAGTAATCCACATATGGGTGAGTTCAAACTATAGTGACTTCCTGATGTGGGCGACTGTTGAAGAGGGGAAATGTCAGACAGCGTTTAAGAGGGTGAATGAATCAGTCGATGTACAGTGTAGGTGTCATGTCACATTGACATGACTATTAGAGGTAACAGTTCACAGTGGAACACAATATTGGAGAATATGAATGTACTTCATATATTAAAGTGTTTTAGTTTTGATGTTTTTAAAGTACCTTCTTTCACATATTAGAATATTAAACTTCCGGCTGAATTGTGGCTGCTGGAACACTCCACTCGTGTGGGTTTTGTTACCACAGGTAAGTCACAGAACAACAACTTCATTATTTAAAGGGATAGTTCACCCAAAAATAATAATTTACTCACATTCCAAATATATTATGAGAAAATATGATATATTGTGTTCCTCAGAGGACAGAAAGTAATACAGGTTTGGATTGGAATAACATACATTAAAGCAAATGGTGACAGAATTTATATATACATACATGCATACTGTGCATATATATATATACTGTATATAGAAAAAAATGTGGCATAGACAACAATCATAGTTAATCTTAGTTTTCAGATAGTCAGTTGACCAGTGACCAGTGAACTTTTTCTTTTTGCCCTGTGATTTTAAGTCAAGTCAAGTCAAGTCACCTTTATTTATATAGTGCTTTTAACAATACAGATTGTGCCAAAGCAGCCTTACAGTTTTCAAATAGGAAAATAGTGTGTCAATGCAAAAGGACATTAGTAAACACTCAATTTTCAGTTAAATGCAGTTCATCACTGAATTCAGTGATGTCATCATCCAGCTCAGTTCAGTTTAAATAGTTTCTGTGCAATCAAGTTGACGATATCGCTGGAAATTAAGTGTCCCCAACTAAGCAAGCCAGAGGCGACAGCGGCAAGGAACCAAAACTCCATCGGTGACAGAATGGAGAAAAAAACCTTGGGAGAAATTAGGCTCAGTCAGGGGGCCAGTTCTCCTCCGGCCAGACGAATCAGCAGATTGATCCATGCTTAAGAAAGTTAGATGCAGAGGGCTCATCTGGTTCCATGGTCTTGTCATAATGGCCGTCTAGGAGACAAGGTCTCTGGGGCTCATCTAGTTGTCCTGGTCTCCGCTGAAATTCAGGGCTATAGAGGTCGTCTCTAGGTGCTGATCCACCATCTGGGCTGGATACAGACTGGATCCGGGTGACTGCAGTGACCATCTGGGCTGGATACGGACTGGATCTGGTGGCTACGGTCACCTCGGAATAAGAAAGAAACAGACTAATATTAGTGTAGATGCCATTTTTCTTACGATGTAACAAGTACATCGTGTGTTATTGGAAGTGTTCCCAGTTCCGGCTGACCTAATTAATGCAGACTAACAATACTTTAACGGATTTGAGTAATAGAAATGTGTAAGTGTGTTATGTGTAAGCCAGGTTAAAGAGATGAGTCTTTAATCTAGATTTAAACTGACAGAGTGTGTTTGCCTCCCGAACAGTGTTAGGTAGATTATTCCAGAGTTTGGGCGCTAAATAGTAAAAGGATCTGCCGCCCACAGTTGATTTTGATATTCTAGGTATTATCAAATTGACAAAGTTTTGAGAGCACAGCAGACGTGGAGGACTATAATACGATAAGAGCTAACTCAAGTACTGAAGTGCTAAACCATTCAGGGCTTTATAAGTAATTAGCAGGATTTTAAAATCTATACGATATTAATAGGGAGCCAGTGCAGTGTTGACAGAACCGGGCTAATATGGACATACTTCCTGGATCTAGTTTGTTTATTAAGCGTGCAGAACAACCACCCAATAAAGCATTACAATAATCTAACCTTGAGGTCATGAACGCATGAATTAACGTTTCTGCATTTGACATTGAGAGCAAAAGTCGCAATTTAGATATATTTTTGAGATGGAAAAATGCAGTTTTACAAATGTTAGAAACGTGGCTTTCGAAGGAAAGTTCCTAACTGATGACGAAGAATTGACAGAGCAGTCATCAATTGTTAGACAGTGTTCTAGGTTTTTGGTCCGATAATTAACACCTGTTTTTTCAGAATGTAGCAGTAAGAAATTACTCCTCATCCAGTTTTTCATATTGACTATGCATTCCGTTCGTTTTTCAAATTGGTATGTTTCGCCAGGCCACGAAGAAATATAGAGCTGAGAGTCATCAGCATAACAGTGAAAGCTAACACCGTGTTTCCTGATGATATCTCCCAAGGGTAACATGCAAAGCGTGAAGAGTAACGGCCCTAGTACTGAGCCTTGAGGTACTCCATAGTGCACTTGTGATCGATATGGCACCTCTTCATTCACTGCTACGAATTGATGGCGGTCAGATAAGTACGATTTGAACCATGCTAATGCACTTCCACCAATGCCAACAAAGTTTTCTAGTCTATTCAAAAGAATGTTGTGGTCGATAGTGTCGAATGCAGCGCTAAGATCCAGTAGCACTAATAGAAAGATACAACCATGATCAGATGATAAGAGCAGATCATTTGTAACTCTAATGAGAGCAGTCTCAGTACTATGATACAGTCTAAATCCTGACTGGAAATCCTCACAGATACCATTTTTCTCTAAGAAGGAATATAATTGTGAGGATACTACCTTTTCTAGTTTAATTGACAGAAAAGGGAGATTCGAGATCGGTCTATAATTAACTAGATCTTTGGGGTCAAGTTGTGTTTTTTTAATGAGAGGCTTAATAACAGCCAGTTTGAAGGTTTTGGGGACATGTCCTAATGACAATGACAAATTAATAATAGTCAGAAAAGGATCTATGACTTCTGGAAGCACCTCTTTTAGGAGCTTAGATGGAATAGGGTCTAGCATACATGTTGTTGGTTTAGATGATTTAACAAGTTTATACAATTCTTCCTCTCCTATAGAGAATGAGTGGAATTGTTCCTCAGGGGATCTATAGTGCACTGATGCGATACTGTAGCTGACGGCTGCATGGTTACAATTTTATTTCTAATAGTGTTGATCTTGGAATTTAAGTAGTTCATAAAGTCATTACTGCTGTGCTGTTGGGAAATGTCAACGCCTGTTGGTGCTTTATTTTTCGTTAATTTAGCCACTATATTGAATAAATAACTGGGGTTTAAGATGAACTGCCGTCTCAAACCTACATAACAAAGATCTCATTTCCTGTTTATACACCACCAACCTCAGCATCCTGTGTTTAATTAAAACTCTTCAACACCAGATGCCTTCTGTTGCCACCTGCTGTGTGCTGTTCCCAAGAGAGCTAATGCTGTGTGACAAACCCTATTTTCCCAATCAATAACCAGTACCCAAACCTGTCAAATACTTTTCCACTGGTCTCAAACTGCATATGACATAGAGTTTGCTATTAAGATATATTCTCCACCAGTACATGCATTACAGGAAGTGAAGGGGTTCACAGAAACCAAAAGAAAAATTCTAATCTAAATAAAGACACTGGCTTCATGACTTCCTCCATTAGATCGAAGCTAGGCAGCAAGGGCACATTATAGTCATCAACCATACAGTCCTCAGAACAGATACAATGCCAACAACATGGATCTCTGAGGTAGGTACCTTTAATTTTTTTTTACTTTGTAATCTTGTAGAACAAAATTTGGCCATTGAAAACCCTAAACAGCCAATCTTATCAGAAGACAATGTTGTAGGTCAAATGTGGTTTCTATAGTAAGTAGACCATTCATTAACAGTATATATTCAAAAACTTTTGTTGAGTGATTATTTAAGGTACAGGATTACTGTTGATGAATATAAATTAATTCTGCACAGATTTTTGACAAAGATAAGCCAAAACAATAAATAAAGAATTGTAGTGAATGTAGCATTCCTCTTTTTATGATGTATTGGTATACTGACTGATATTCAACATTTTGTTAGTTTTTTCCCTTTTTTTGTACCTTAACACTCATATTTGAGAAGGGTTGTCTTTCACTTCTCTTTTTTAAAAACCTTAAAAAAGTCTTAATATTTTTTTCTAAAATTAAAAAAGTGGCATGTTTTCAAAGGTTGGTTCACCCAAAATGACAATTCTGTCATCATTTACTTAACTCATGTAGTTTTAAGACTATTTTTTGTTCTACAGACAAAAGAAAGGCATACAGGTTTGAAATTACATAAATTAAATTTTTATTATTATTATTAATTTTTTTGTATTTGTATGAACTATTCCTTTAAAACTTCTCCATGAACTGTTAAGAAGTCTTGTATATGTCTGTTGTATATTTGTTTTCTGTTACTATTCTATTTAGTGTAAGTTTAAAAAAAAACATAGAGTAAAAAAGTACTACATTATTATAAATAGTTAGTTATTATAAATAAAGTTTCAGCTGTAAGATAATTAAAGTTTCAATAGACCTTACTCAGGGTAGAGGCCATATTGAATTTTACATGGATGAAAATGAGCTGTCAGTCTTTACAGTCTGTACAGTCTTTACAATGGCACACAATGTATAAAGTTCCAAGAACTTTCAAACTTTCACATTTCAAAGCTACTACTTTGTCTACTTTGGAAGGATGAACAATTGGCACAATCCAGTGAACAATTTCTATTACAGCCTCACATTCATTCCTGTCAAAAATTTTATATAGTGCTACTCTGACTAAGGTCTATTACTTTTTTCAAAACTCTGAAACAGGCTTCCATAGTTTTAAAAAACTAATGTTTTAAATTGGTTTATTTTTTTATGGTCAAATCAGGCAAACCATCATGGACCATAACACATCTTTGCCCGTCATCAAGGAGGGCCACGTCCCCCAAGTGTACCGGACTGCTAGCCTAGTGTTTTATGGCATTATCTTCGTCATAGGCACAGTGGTCAACCTGACTGCCCTCTGGGTCTTTGCCTTGACCACTAAACGACGGAACTCCATTACTGTTTACATGATCAATGTCGCTTTAGTGGACTTGGTATTTATCTTACTGCTGCCTTTTCGAATGGTCTACTACAGTCAAGACTACTGGCCCTTTGGAGACGTGTTCTGCAGGATTAACGCCGCACTAACGGTGCTCTATCCCTGCCTGGCCTTGTGGCTCTTTGCCCTCATTAGCACAGATCGCTATGTGGCCATAGTACAGCCGCGACACACCCGAGAACTAAAAAGCGTCCGTAAAGCCTTGCTGTCCTGTGCGGGAGTCTGGATCATGACCCTGGGCAGCACAGCTCCGCTTGTTCTCCTGGAAGAAGACCCTGACAGCAACACAAACTATACCACTTGCATCAAGATGCACGACATCATCTACTTGCGCCGAGACAATCCAGTCCACTTCGCACGTATTGTCTTCTTCTTCTTGGTGCCGGTGTGCATCATGGTGGGCTGTTATATGATCATCGTGGACAACCTTATCCATGGACGCACATCCAAACTGAAGCCCAAAGTCAAGCAGAAGTCCATCCGGATCATCATCACACTGATCGTTCAGGTGCTGGTGTGCTTTGTGCCTTTCCACATCTGTTTTGTTTCCATGCTGCTGGCCAGCAGTGAGAGGGGTTACAACACCTGGGGGGCCTTCACCACCTTCCTGATGAATGCGAGCACAGTGCTGGACATCATACTCTTCTACATTGTGTCGAAGCAGTTTCAGGACCGTGTGATCAGCGTGATCTTGTACAGAAACTACCTGAGGAGCGTTCGTAGGAAGAGCCGTCACACCAACAGCATTCGCTCGCTCAGCAACCTGAACAGTGCCATGATCTGAGGAATAATACAGCTGACAGAAGCAATGTAAACTGAATTCAAACATGTTAATTTTTGCAATTAAATTAGAGAATAAGATTTATTAGTGAAACTGCTCGCAGTAAGTACGCAGTCAACTTACGAGACAGGTCACATGTGCTCCAGTGTCTTCATTGGTAGTTGCTGCATTGCATCACTGCTCATTTGCATAAAGTTAAACTTTTATCAGTTTTGCTGCCAAACACACATCACCACACACTGAACAATTACTTATGCTGCAAATCGCTTTATGTGTGAATACACCCTAAGACAAACATGTGTTGTTTTAAAGATTTAGAGTTTTTAAAGTTGAGAAAGATTCAAGTTCTAAATTGGGATGCTACAGTTAGAGCCATATATAATGTAGTATTAATAAAATGTTTAGTTTTCTCGTATACTTGTAAAAAATAGGCCATTGTGGGGATGCACTGTAAACCCTAACTCTCAAAATAATGAATTGGTTTGAGTAGGGCAAACTTAAATTAAACAAAATACTTTAAACAAATCTACTTTTATGAGTATTTTGAACTTTCTTTTTCTTTTGAGTTCATGAAACTGACATATTTTAAGTCATCTGAATTGTTTCATTGTTTTTAATTTAATGAACTTGTTTCTTTTTATTAAGAAAAACTTAAATTTGAACTGAAACTGGGCTGGGATTTCTATTTCCCAGCATGCTTTGCCATGGCACTTGAAATGAAGAGTAAATGCTAAAATTGTGTAATGGGAGATGCAGTAGTGTTCAGTGTTTTGCTATGCTAATGCTATCATGGCAATGAGCTTGGTTTATGTTGAATGTTTTTTATTGCCTTACTCATTCAGCAATATACTAATCAAAGCATTGTGTTACCAATTAACAAGTTACTATTACTGAACTAGCTAGTTATAGCTAGTTAAGTTTCCACTACAAATTTTTTTTTAGATTAATTGATAATATTAAGTTAAATGTATGAGTTAGCTTACTCAGGTTAAGAGTAATTGCATACTTACACTTTGACTTTCTTAAATTAAAAATTAATTTTAAAAATGACCTCTTTTTTACAGGGTTTACAGTGTGTTACATAATCACTGCAAGATGTTTGAAATTCATTGCATTGCAACACTTTCTTTACAGTCTTTGCACAATTTGTGCATAACATGTTAGTCTTTTCTAAGCATGCTTTTTATCATACCAAGTATGAACTTCAGAAACAGCGAATGTCTTTGAAGAGGTTAGTTCAAAAGGAGTGCATATAGCTGTATATTTGTTCATTTTAGAAGTGTAAAATTAGATACTACCTTTCAATGTGGCATGTGATGCACATTAAATTTCCCAAAAAGTGAAAAGGTAATTAAATTACATTAGAGCACTTTATCTCTAAAAATGTTGGTATTTAATGACAATGAAAGTAAAATAAAAGTACTGAATGATAACATATATATGTTTTTAAAAATATTCCTTCTAAACAATGCTGGATTGTTTAAACTCAACTTTGGGTCAAATATGGACTAACCGAACAATTGGCTTAAAAGTTTACATTAAATTGTAAACCCAAAAGTTGGGTTAGTCCATTTGTTGACCCAAAGTTGGGTTGAAACAACCCGGCATGTTTTTAGAGTATACACATATATATGAAGAGTTCCAGTGCAAAAGCCTCTAAAGGCCATCTTGGTCAAAAATGAGATAATGACACTGAGTGAATGCTCTCCACACATAGTATAACATATATGGTTATACATACATACTTTCTTCACCATTTTGTTTAATACAAGCTGATCAGCTGATCACAATTAAAAATGAACTGAAACAGTATTTTGGTACAGCACGACTGTAAACTTGAGTATATAAGAAGCCAGCAGGTGGCGCTACTAACCAGGGCATATTTATGCTACTCATACAGTGCTTTGTCCCAATATCACCATCAGGTGCTGTCATGTCATGTTAACAAATTACTTGAAAGAGGCATTATATCTACTCATAGTTTTAAAATGTTTTCAGTGAAAATGTTCTCTTTGTTTTCTTTAACTTTCCATAAAATATGTGACTGCTGACAGATGGACTGATTTCTTCATTGGGAAGCTGACACATTCTGTTGCTATATCTAAGTGTTTCTTTTCTCATTCTGTTATAATTACTCTTCATGTTTTGCAGCTTTTGTGACCTAATAATTACTGAGAGACTGTATGTAATATTAGCAATTTTTTAATTTATGCCACACTGCAGGACCATTTACATGAAAAAAAGGGACAAATTGTAAAATGTTGACTAGTGGTGACTGATAATAAGACCTTATCCATTCATATAAATTTTAAAGGAAGTAGCGTCAGATCTTTCCTGCCATATTGTGATGTACAACCGAATGAAACGCATTATCAAAAAGAAAAAAAGAAAAAGAGGGCTGGGACTTGGGCGGGGTTTACAGGAACAGGATGATTGGACATCAAATGTCACAAATGAGAAGTCATTTCACTGGGAGATCCAGTTATGGCATTTTGATTAAGCAATCAGGTCCAATAAATAAATAAATAAATTAAATTAAATAAAAAACATATGAAACATTGTTAACCATAAGTTAAGTAGCATGCATATAGAAAATACATTTTTATTTGATTATTCTGCTGGATATACAGTAATGCTTTAATTTCATAAGTATCTATTTAAATGTTAGCCTACTCAAAATTGTATTATGTAAAGTGGACACAATACCGACTTATAATAATAATAAAAATAAATGAGCATAAACCCATTGTTAGTCCGATTGTACCCCTAATATTCAAAACAACCGTACTTCCTTTAACGCACAGTTAACAAAAATAAAGATTTTCCATTGCAGATTAGTCTCATAAGCACTTATGCAGGGTCATCTCCATTTTGCGGCATGTGGTAAAGCTTTCACAAATCTGGTCTGGAAATTCCAGGCATTCCCCAAGCAGAGAAAAATATTATCCAAAACCATACCAAAAGTGTCATATTGGCCTAATAAACTGAGGTGGATAATGGTGTTTGAAAATGATTGCATGGTGCCCTTCATTATCTTTACAGCCACAGAAATCTTAGAAAACGCCTCATGCGGTTCCCAGCGGTGCCTGTATTTACCCTCACTGGCTTATGCATTAAGATCTTATCTGGTCAGAGGCCGGGAGAAAGACCTTGCACTCTTTAATCTATATCATAAGGTGTGATCTCCCTGAAAGAACGCGCTCAATGCAAAGACAAGTCCATTGACCCGTCAGTTAGAGGAGGAGAGGTGAGGAAAACATATGGCTTTGATTACAGCGGCGGCTATTTTAGCAGACAAGCCCGTTGCTGATTCACACACAGAGAATAGCAGCACCATTAGAGGGCATAAACAATGTACAGTCCTTTTTCTACACTACTCAGCTAAGTGCCTTGAAACCTTGGGCTCTACTTGTCAGGTTTTTCAATAGATTAGGACAAGATTTATTTTAAGTCTGTAAAGTAGCATGTTCTTGACAGCGTTCAGCGGGGATCGAGTGTTGCACTCGCAAGCACGGCACCCTGGTTTAATTGTAGCACTGTGGAGCAGACAGGCCTTGTGTCGAATCAGTTAAATATTTCATTCAGTGTCACTTAAACTTCCCCATGATCCATCGTATCACACCAGCGGAACACGCAAGGTGGAATTACAACAGGGATAAGAGACATGAAAGTTTTAAAGGCGGCTATTTTAGCAGACAAGCCCGTTGCTGATTCACACACAGAGAATAGCAGCACCATTAGAGGGCATAAATAATGTACAGTCCTTTTTCTACACTACTCAGCTAAGTGCCTTGAAACCTTGGGCTCTACTTGTCAGGTTTTTCAATAGATTAGGACAAGATTTATTTTAAGTCTGTAAAGTAGCATGTTCTTGACAGCGTTCAGCGGGGATCGAGTGTTGCACTCGCAAGCACGGCACCCTGGTTTAATTGTAGCACTGTGGAGCAGACAGGCCTTGTGTCGAATCAGTTAAATATTTCATTCAGTGTCACTTAAACTTCCCCATGATCCATCGTATCACACCAGCGGAACACGCAAGGTGGAATTACAACAGGGATAAGAGACATGAAAGTTTTAATTCCAAACATGGCCCTAGCTAGAGCTTACAAAGAGAGATTTGTGTTAAGAAACAGATCTGAGACTTCACCCTGTCTTTTTCTGTCCATCTCCCTCGCACGTTGAATTCATCTTTCTCCCACCCACTTCTCGCTATCCCTCTTTCTTCCTCTCTCAATCCATCCCCCTCTGTCTCTGTTATCCGACTGAAGTTACAACCGAGAAAACAATTAAATCCTATTTAAAATTCGACTACATGTCTGTGTCATGCCTCATTATGGGAAGGTTTTCGGTATTCAAAATAATTGAAACCTGACGCGTTAAGTGCGCAGGCGGACTCCCACTGCAGGGCCCAGGGAGCCGCAGACAGAAGAATGATTGTAAGAGAGAGAGAAAAGGAGACCACTTCAGTGTGACAGCACAGGGCAGCCGCGTGTAGGGATCTGACAGCGGGAAGGGGTTCTTGTGTGTGCGCGTCACGTAGCGGCCTCCGAGAGCTCAATTACAAGATTGATACTCAGAGAGGAAACTTCATTTTGCTTTACAGATGTCGACACCGCCAGAGAAAAGCGAGGTTGTTGTTTAACATAAGAAGGGTTTGTGCGATGAGAATAAGCCCATGTGAAACCAAGAGGTCTTTTATTTTCCTCAGATATCAGAATTAAGTCTTTTAGGTCAATTTAGTCTCACAAAGCCAGACTTTCGACTAATAACAAAGTCTTGACTTCACTGCAGCTTAATCTGGCCAAGAAGAGACTGTCTAACTGATATTCAAAGTGACCAACCACAGCTCATTCTGTTTTTATGTGGTACCAAGGGCAGCATTCCTTGAAATAAATAATACATCAATAACTGACTGGCATGGAACAAATGAAAATGATTTACACAACAGAAAAGAATATAAAATAGGGCAAAATGTGTAAAACTTGAGAATTTCTAATGCATTTCAGACAAAGAATATTTGATAAAAAGTCATTATGATGACATAGTCACATATTATAATGTTTGGACTATTAAATCACAATCAAATAAGAAAAACAAATAAATTAAAACATCTGCATCACTTTTACATAACCTAAATGATTTTTATGCATGGCATCTATATAACGAATTACATTTTTTTTTATAATATTTCATTTATTTAGTAAAAAGCGTGAGTAATTAATATTGACCATATGCTGTCATATACAAATGTAATACTTTTGAACTATAGCACTTAAAATAGAAATAACTTAGCAAAATCTTCCACAGACATTTGCTGCAGAGCTGCTTTTCACCATCTTTCATGGAAACATGTCATAATGCGAGTATTATAAACAATTATGAGTTCCTCACTGGTAAATATGACAACACTTGGTTGTTTATGTCCACATAGCTCATAATTAAGATATTTCT